CCCCCCCCCCCCCCCGAAGCCGCACCACCTTGCGTCTCCGCAGAGTGCAGCTTCGTGTGTTGGTTCTGATCAAACCAAAGTGTGTTGGTTGCCTCCTCTCCCTCCCACGCGCCCTTCCGCCAAAAGGAGGCGTGGCCCCACACTCCCTTCCAAGCGGCGCCCGTCACCCTTGCCGCCGGGGCCCCGTTGTGTTACGCCTCTCAAGCTCTCAAGCATCAAGGCAAGAACAGCCGCCGCCACTGCCGGACGGCGACCTTGGTAGACACGACGGTCGCCGATGCGCAGGGAGCCAGCCCGCGACGTCCGAGAATGTCCGAGCTGTTCTCCGCCTCGGCAGCCCCTCGCGCCGCCGCCGCCGCCGCCGCTCCGCAACGGGTGCCGCCGCCAATCACAGCAGCGGGGGTGGTGTTCTCCTCTTTCGAGGGGATCACCGGGTCCTTTCCTCCGGCTGCATGTTCTTGGAGCGTCGTCGAGCCCTCCTTCGAAACGGCGGAACCCCCCCCCCCGGCGGGACGACTAGAACCAGCGCCGCCGACTGCATCGGCAGGGGTTGCGTTGCTCGCTTCTTCTCGCCGACACCTTTCCGACACTACTGCTGTCGTCGAATCAGCCGCCACACAACCTGCTTTCGCCTCCGCTCTGGCGGCGGGCGGGGCCGCCGGCGGGAGCACCATCGGTCCTCCCTCTACCGTTGCCGGGCGGGACGGGGGAAAGGCCTGCGCGTGAGGATGTACGATCGTCGTCGTCGTTGCTGCTGCGCGCGCCTCCGCCTTCCTGCCGCCCCCGCTCCCGCGGAGGAGGCCTTCCGTCCCGTGAACCCGGTGCTGGGCGGGAAACGCTCCCACTCGCGGGATTGGGGCGAGCGGAGGGAGGCGTTCGCGCGGGCAGGCCGCGCCGCCGGTAGTTTCTTGACCGCCGCCGGCAGATCGGCCGTCGGTGTGGCTGCTGTGCTGACGACATGGCGCCAACACGTTCGCGCCCCCGATGCCGGTGGCGGTGGCGGTGGCGGCGCAGCCGGCATCGTCGGGGTCGTGCTGTTTAACTGCTGACACCGGGGGCGTTGCTGCCCCCGCTGCC